ATTTTATTTCAAGGGTGTATTTATTTTTTCCAGTGCAGCCGCCGTGAGAGAGTTTGAGAGCCCTGAAGTTCAAGAGTTCGCGGCCTCTTTCAGGTGAATAATCGAGACCTTTTCGGGCCGCTCTGTTTGCTGTTAATTGCACTAATGTGCGTAATTTATAAGGAAGTGAGTGGCGTGCGAAAAGTTTTCGCCCTACTCTCGGATCTGGGATATTTATGGATCGGGGCAAAAACATTTGGCTAGGCAATAATGCCGAAAGTGCCAAGCAGAGACTCGTAAATAGCACCTCCCACGAGTTCCAACCCTCGGCCAAGATAGCCCCCCTCACAGTATCCAATCCCCTTCACTGGATTCGAGATAAAGACCATGCTGGCATCCCCGATCCCCGACTAATGGCAGACAATGCCGCATTGGCCCCCGGGGAACACACAATTTCAATAAATATTTCACTGCATTAGCCTGATACGAAGGGCTTGGCCAAATCCTGGCGGAGCGTAGCTTCAAATTGCTATTTTCGTTTGGCAATAACGTGCATTAAATGTTTTGCCCATTATCATTTCTGGCCAACATCTCCATTAGCCGAGCCTACTGGTGCTAAGCCATATGCTGAATCAGTTGGATATTATGGGATTTCAACTTGGATTGTCCATACAAATTATTTCCGTCCCTCAACATTATAAAACCTTTTTTTAATTTATATATATATATATATATATATATATATATATATATATAGATTTTCAGATATAGTAATTTTTAGAGAATACAAATAATAAAAATAGATTCAAAGCACACAATCAATAAAAACCATTTTAAATAATTACCTATATCACTTAAATGTACAAATAATTTATTTGAACCGGAAAGCATTTGTGTTAAAGTAATTGTGATCCGAACCATATACATTTTTATAATTTTTAATAGCAAGCCATTTATGGACTAATCTTAGAAAAAAAGGTTTTTGAATGAGACGGAAAGCCTGATTAGAATTTTTTGTGCGAGTGCAAGTGGTTCACAAACCCTTTGCGCCGCAATTGGAGAGCTATTCGAGAAACAATGAAAGTGGGTGATAGACAACTGCAATTGTTGCACTTTTTGCTTCTGAGCCGGGCCAGAAGACGCACTGCGAATAGTGGGCCTTTGGCCAACAAAGAAGCACCTTGATTGCCAACAAACACTAACAACTGGGCTCAACTGAAACGAACCGAACTGGGGGAGAATGAGAGCTTTCTTTCATTTACTGACAATAAATTTTCATTTTCTTGGTAAATCGTTCAGTTGTTGATGGAGTCGAGAGTCGAGAGTCTAGAGTCTAGTGCTGCAACGTAGTTGAGCGTCGATTGCCTCTGCCAGGCACATATGCCGCATTTCTGCACCACAACAATTTGGTTGGCACAGCTCATTGTCTTTGGATATGCCCGCAAACGCCCGTATACGGGAATCCATATAGCCAGGCTCCGGCAGCAATTGCAATTGCTCACAAGTTATCCCAAGTGGAAATTGCTCGCTTTGCCTGCCGTTGTTGTTGGTGTCTGGGCTGGCAAATCGCAATAAAACAAAAGTGATTGTCAAGTGAATGCGTTTGTACTCCCACAACACTGCATACTATAGGTACTCGTATACGACTGCCCCTCCGGATGTGGTTGGTAATATGCAATTCATCATGTGCGCTCTGCTGCGTAATTCGGAGTGATTAAAAATGTTATTCATATGCACTTGATTGATGGATGCGAGGGATTACAATCGACAGATTTGCACTGGGATCTGGGGGAATGGTAATTGAAATGTGCTGATATTTGTTGGCATTTTTCCATCGCCCACGCTCCTTCCTTTTTGGGGGTCACGCTTCTTTTTAAATGCTTAATAAACATAATTCCGTTTAAGCAATTCCTTCCGCCGCAAAGCCACACGCAATATTCGACCAACACGCAGGTAGTTAATTTAGGGTGTGAACTGGTTGAGTTATGCGTGGACTTCTGAAACCCCCATTTTTGCCCTTACCTGTCAGGAGTTCGGCGTAGAGGACGGCCAAATGGGCAGTAAATAATTCATTAGCGGCTTTTAACAATACATTTTTGTTGGCCACTCTAAATGACCTTTCCAACGAGCGCTTCTGCACTGCACGGAAAAAAAATATAATCTAACTATAATATTTGAACTATAATATTTGAATAAGATATGATAAAATGATACATTTTAGGACAGACTTTAAAAATACAATAATGTATCAAAAATGTGTACTTTAAATTATTTTAATAATAGGTTGTACTTAAATTTCATAATTTACAAGATGCTTTAAATGATGATTTTCGATCTAGACTATCACAACAATATTTTGTTGCATTTTTCTCTGTGTACATTACGCTCTTGTATTTTTTAGTTGGGCACTTATTTTAATGAAACGGCAGCTAATTAGCTGCATCGACGTTGACCTCTGAACCGCTGACTTCATTAGAGCAGGAATTCGTCGCTTTGTATTTTCTCGCAATGCCGCGATAAGAAACGCGGATAGGAGATTGCCGAACCACCTGCGCATTTACAACAACAAACAATGTGGTTTTTTGGCACATTTCGCAGCGGCTGGCAAATTAAAATGCAATAACTCTTCATCAGGGGGGCTCTTTCCCCTATGCCAAACCCAAACACACGTGAGCCGAGGGCAGGAAATGTGCTATAATTGAAAAATGTGGTAACAAGACGCTCCACCAGCAGCACCGCACCGCACCACACCACAGCACAGCACCACCGTGTCGGGCCTAATGAATGCCTCACTTTTTCCGTGTCTTTTTGGTTCGCCCGGGCTTTGCATAATAACACGCGAGGAGTGTGTCAGGTTTTGGTAGGACCATGGCTGATGGCTGCTCGGCGGGGTGATAAATGCTCATCAGGCTTTAAGGCTGCGCTGGCAATTAACTTTTACAATGTTGTTGAAACGTAATCAAGTTGTCAGCGGCAAAAAGCCGACTTGCCTCGCAAATTATACTCCTAATTACGCAAAACTTTTCTCAGCGCGGAAATTCCCTAGGCCACAAGCTGTCAGCAGTCTAAAGACAATACGGAAAGTCGTCGAAAAGCGGGTAATTTCGGCGGGGAAAATCCACTCTCATTGGCTAATCCTGGGGGATCCATTCGACTAATGCCCTGCTAGAATTCCCCCCTCGAAGTTCTCGATTCAAATGTCTCTCAGTTGTCATAACAAACTTGGGGACTATCGTCAGAACCGCTCTATAGAGATATACTGTACAGGGAGAAATAAATGTATGGACTATAATCATTCATCTTAAATATGTTAATGTTATTACATTTCATTTTCAATATTCGATTTAAGAAAACCCATTGTTAATCAATTCTTTAATATTTCCGATTTCCGAATTCTATCATACATTTAATTATAATGAAGTTGTAATACAAATAGAGCTTATAACTAAAACCTTAACGTATTTTATTTATTATTTTTATTTTAAATTTATTGTTCATGAACCTAATTTTTAGTGACATATAGCTTAAATCAAATCTAAACAGATTGAATTTTATTCATGTTGTACATACACATCAAAAAGAACGAATATGTTGACGTTCTTAAACTAATTAAAAGTAAGAATCTTTTTGTATGCCTATTTTCTTACTGTATTTTTGCTACTCTCCCTCGTTTTATTTCCTTTAAACAAAGCTGAAAAGCATTAGCTTCCCCCGAAAGTCTTGAGTTACAGTTGCCGGGAATTGACAATAAGCGGCATAAATTTCAAAATTTTATTTTTATCGCATTGCAATTTTCTTTTGCTCCGCTTTTCATTTCCTCTTACGCTTTCCTTCTTCGGGTGTCTGTGTGTGTGTGTGTGTGCGCGCTTTAAGCCACATTTAAGATACTTGGCGGGTATTATTGACTTTTGAGTTGATAAAGTGCCATAAATGTCACCCCATTAAAAGCGGGGAGCAGCCGAGGTAAAGGTAAGTCAAAGGTAAAAATACGCGGCGCTCCTGGGGGTTGTTGTGCTGGTCGTCCTGGCAAAGGGAGGGAGATAAATGCGGTTGCTTGCCAGGATAATGCGCCTCAACTCAATTGGGAATTTCAAAAGTAAAGTTGAATTTCATGTTCGGCTGCGGCAATTGTCACAGATGGTTTAATTGAAGTAATTACATATGAAATCCGTCAGGATTTGCCCCTCTCTCGACACTTTTCGTTTATTATTTTATTATATTATCATATACTAAGCAGCACAATAGCAGCATCATCATAATCCAGCCATTTGGGGTTTGGCGGAAAAGGGTTAATTGAGTTGTTTGCCTTTGTTTTATCTGCTTTTCCGCCACTTTGCCTTGCCTTTGACTCTCCTAATGAGCTAATGACAACTGCGTGTAATTATTTACCAACAGCAGAACCGGAAAGGTGAACACGTATTTATGCCTTTTGGTCGCCTTTTTTAGCTACATTTTATGAGCCTTTTTGAAAGCCAGTTTAACTGGTTACTGACCTATTCAGATTCATTAAAGAAAGCTGCCAGAGTAAGCGAAATTAAGTTGCCTTAAAAGGCACCACAGAATTTTCCAACACATTAAGCAAACATTTAAACAGCAATTAATGGCTATTATTATACTGCTGACTCGCCTACTAAGCTAATAAAATATACAGCTTAATGTTACATATTATTGTCCTTAAAATGTTGTTTTCAAAACGCCTAAAATGTTGCACTGTCTCTAGATTTCTTAAGTCTTCATTTTGAACTTTTAAAAGTCTGTTTTTAGGTGCCTGCAATTATTAAGCTTTTTAAACATATATAGGACCTATACTGTAGGTATTGAGTAGGAAAAATTCTTTTGTATATTTCGGTCAGTCAAGGTTATTCTCGTGCCGCTTAAAGCGCACGTTCTGCAAACATTTTGGGATCTTTACTCTGTGTGCACTAAGTCAACCAATTGGTTTGCCACAACTGCTAAAACAATGGGGTACATTTAATATAAATAGCGAAATGATTGTCTTTTGTTAACAGTTTTACTTTCAGTAACCCTAAAGAAATGTTCAATTTTAAATTATTATTGCTGTTGTTGGTTGTTTGGAGGTTCTCCTATGCCCATGTAGTCCACGAACCTGAACCGGAACCAGAGCAAGACCCTGACCCTGAGCCTGAAACAGACCCGGAACTTGAGTCAGAACCTGATCCTGAACCAGAGCCCGATCCAGAGCCTGAACCAGAGTTTGATCCAGAGTCTGACCCAGAGCCTGAACTGGAACCTGAGCCTGAACCCGAAACTGATCCTGAACCAGAGGCCGAACCAGAGACGGAACCAGAGCCTGAACACGAGCCCGAGCCTCTAATAGTAACGTCAACGACAACAACAATCCCACCCGACGATTGCAATATCTACTACAGAAATTACCAATGGGCTCTCCAGGACGGTGTCTGCCGTTGTTTGCAGAACGAATATCTTATGAAAAACGAAAACGATCAACGCATTAAGGACGGTAAAACCCGTAAGTAAATAAAATTCATTAAAAAACGATTTCGATTGATATAACATATTCCAGCACTTGTACCCGTTTCCGAGCAACTTTGCCGTAGTTTCATTAAAAGCAGGTGCTGTGTGGGATTCCCCGTAGTTGCTGAGTTCCCCATACCACCTCCTTGCGGATGCAATCGAAAACAAGGCACAATCGCCACAGAGCGATTTTTCAGTCTGTGTCACCTGCTAAAATTCTCTTCTGAGAACAGAAAACGTAAGTTCGAATCCAAGTAAAATACCACAATAATACTCTAATAATATATTATTTCTACTCACAGCATTCTTAACATACTCGTATTGTTGGCCAATCTAAGTGGAATGCAACCAGTAAAAAAAATTTGTTAACTGCTTGTTATCCTCATATTTAATTAAGTTTAATTTATGTACTGGGGAGATGGAAAACTTTTAATATTATATAAGAAAATAAATGTGTTAGTATAAATAAATTGTATAAATTGTATTAAATTATACGAAAAAAAAAATTATTTTAAAAATTAATAAAAATAACTGTTTAATAAAAATAAAATGTTAATAATTTTAAAGAATTGCTTGAAAATAGCATTATAATTTATTAGACGGTATAGTAGCTTATCTGTTTAATTTCTCATAAATCAGTAAAATCAGGGGTAATGGGTTTAGATATGACTGTACATTGTTTCCATAATCAATGCAACAGTGCGTTTTACACAAAAAGTGCCCAAATGCCATAAAACCTCCATCATTGAGTTGAATCATTTAATTTATTCTCTTATTGCTACCAACATTAATTGTATTATCTTACTGGCTTAAAAGTATACAAAGTCTTGGTTAAACATATATAATATTTTATATTTTGTTTTCGAAATACCAAGCTTGTGTAGAATTGCATATTAATACATTTATAATCGCTTAAATTAAGAAATATTTTTATTCATTTCAATTTTATTTAACATTAATACTTATCATTTTGTTTTTCCAATGGGATGTTTCATTTGCCCTGAATCACCTCATCATATATAGCCATTATATATTATTGCACATATGGTGCATATGTTTACTCGATCAGCAGCGATAGCCAAGAATAGCACCAAAAATCAACTGGTCAAATAGATGTTTTCTCTGTTTCGCACCTATAAAGACCCGTTGATCATTACCCAGACCCACAGTTTCGAGTGCAATCCAGTTCCTCCAGGCCGATCGCAATGTTCAATATCAAGCTAATCATCCTGGTTGCCCTGACCATCTCCATGGTTCAGAGTTGTTGCATCGACGAGCCCGAGCAGGGTAATTGCGGATGTGGAAAGTCCCAGTGCTCCTCATGTGGACACGTCAAGTCCTGTGGATGTGGATGCAAACCTTGTCGTTGTCCCTCATCTGGTGGCGGTGGCTGCCAGGGTTAGACCAGGAATTCAGGTACGCTTATAAAATAAAATCAACGTGATCTTGTAATAAATTCACCCGAATTCCAGACCAGGACATGCGCAAGCGGCACAAAGGACTCTGCCCACATTGAACCATTGTTTTTAAAATTATTTGTTTTTAACTTTCATTAAAGTGTAGTTACATTTTGCAAACTTTCATCTTTTTCGCACTTTGTGCGCTCAATTGTGAAGGGAGCGCCACAATGAGCAGACAATCATTTTCATTGCATTGATCACTTTTTTATTCATATCCGTTCACTCGTTGGCAAAGTAATTTCTTTGTTCTTTCCGCCACGCTTTCTTGATTTCCCCAGTTCCGCAATGGGGAACAAAAGGAAAAGTAATCATATCCGGACCCCAGCACTTTTCCTTTTTCCCCCGGTGTATCTCCTTTGCACTTTTCTACGTGAATTTGTTTTTTGTTCCTTTTGCCCGCTCCTCCAGTATTCCATTTCATTTGCTGGCTTCTGATGTTCTTCTCCTTAATGATGACAAATTACGTTTTCGTACTGACTCTTTATCAACTTGTTATTTTTTTTTAAATGATTTTATAAGCATTCATAATTTTATATTTTCAAAACATACGTTCCAAGAACGTTTTAAAACGGTAAATATAAAATTTACTAAAATGAGAGTAACCTGGCCCAAACTTTATTTCCTATTATTCTACCTGACCGAGAGCCTGCTGGCTATATATACATATATATATATATACGGACATAGAAGACCCACCTGGTCGCAGAGTGGAGACGGCAGGACATCTTCGCCTAATAACCCTAAAAGCCTTATCGAGTCATTTAGTATGAAAACAAGCAATTAAAATGATGAATATGCAATAAACGTGGATTGTGAATACAAACACACTTGCACCCAACCACTGCCTCTCAAATAAACGATAGCTCCTCGCGTTCCATACATTTTATATGCTAATGAGCGGCACACAAAAATAAAAGAGTCGAATTTTTCGGGAATAAAATGAAAGGAAAAAGGCGGACGAACATACATTTGCCTAATGAAAATAGCGCCATTAAAATGGGAAAAACAACTTTAGATACCGAAATTCGAAACACGGCGAGTTTTGGCAATTAAAAGGATACGAATGGAACAAGCTCCTATCAAATACCCGCTGCGATGTTGAATATGTATGCGTTTTTATATATTTATATGTGTATATATTTATACACATTTATATGTATCTCCATGATCGTCTAGCAAATTAGAGATTAACACGCATGTGTCGTCCTTTTCGGGTAGTAGTCTGACTTCTGGTTCATTGACCGCCGCTGGGCAATAAAAGTAAATGACTCCGAAAACTTGGCGGCCAGTTTTATAACTTAACGAATTAGAGCAATTTGAGAAGACTATAAAAACGTCCGGAAAACCGCAGAGGTATGTTGAAAATTTTTTCGAAATTTTCAGTGGCGCGTGCAGTTTCAGGTAAAGTTGGCTAGAACAGGGGTGTGTTTAATAGGCCACAACGGACATTACATAGATCCTGGGGTCGGAGGACGCATATCAGTGGAAAATTAAGTGCATTTCGAGGACTTAAAAATTGGACAGTTGAAATGGAGACACACCCGTGCCAGGCCATAATAATTGGCTGGCATCTATCTAGCTCTTGCAATGCAAACATATTAATTAATTCGAGGCCTATGCGCCTGTCAGTTGTCCGTGCATCGCAATCGCATCTCAGGTTTAACTGAGGTCAACTCGGGTCGGTTCAACAACTTAATTATAGTGCGAGTGTCTCAGTGTTTTGCATTTCCACGTCCAATTTATTGTTTGTTTCTCCAATTGAGCGACCGCCCCACCCCGCCCCGCCCCGCAGTAATTTGATAATTGCAATTGCGTGTGTGTGTGCATTTGCGGTCGACAGCTTGTTAGCCAGCCTGAAGGCTTAATTGGCCTTTAATTTGTTGCAAATTTGCCGCGGGCCCAATTATGCCGCCCAATAGTGTCGACATAATGTTCGAATTACATTTACAACTGTATCGAGCCTGTCTAATATATATTATTAGTAGTATTTGTAGTGTGATTTGCACAGCCGATTGCAAAAAGAGTTGGCCCGTCGTTCTCTGCCGGAAATTAGCCGCACTAAACTTGATAAGCCAAATAAAATGGTTGAGTGACAATTGGCTAAACGAAATTGATTGATGAGACAGCCCGAATGTAGCTAAAACTTTGACAGATTGCCCGGAGATAACTGCAGGATTCGAGCATCCTTATCAGACTCATCGTGGCACGAGTCGAACAAATATTGTGACAGCAAGGAAAGGGGTCGCAAATGTAAATGCGTGCAGCTTATTGACATTAATGTAACAATTGTCAAAAGGATTTATTAACAGCCCTGAGGGGATGGCGATGGTGCGAAGGGTGCGGCACTTTCGGTGGTGACGGTGGCTCTAAGTGCCATCAATCATTTGATTGATATTAATGAGCTCAAATTTGCATTATTCCAATGAGGATCACATGTTTTAGTGAAGTTGTTGTTTAGAAACGAGTCAGTTTGCCAAATGTTTGCATACATTTCAGGCGTAATTAAGTTTTCGGAGCACCGGAGTTTTCCATTAGCAACGGGGAAATCACAATTCGAAGTGTATTTGCAATCAGACGACATCCTTCGGCTGGCATGCAAATAAATTATAACGAATTTGCACAGACACTGAAAAAATCCTCAAATATCGAGCCAAGCCGAAAAGAAGAGAAAAACTCAAATGTAACAAGAAGATCAACAACAAAGCTGCAGGAATACAAATTACCAGGCCACAAAAAGCCAGACACCACCACTCACATCCTGGATATACAAAAATATACTCGTAGCTGCTGTACACAACACAACACAACAAAACACACCGCACCGTTCACTTACTTAGCCATATAAATGCACAGTTTGTGATGCATATAAAAAGCGGAAAGCAAATTTGAATTTTTAAATTAGTTTTGTTAACTTTGCCCGTTGTTGTGCAGTCGCTCTGGCAGGGCCTGGAAATGTTTAACGACTCGTAAGGAAATTGCGAAGTAAAATGTCTTCAGGAATTCCACATTTTCCGTATACGTAGCAAAAAGCCGAAGGAAACCGGCTACAAATGCGGCAAAAAAAAACCACAAGATGGCGTTGAGTGGGTGGATGGCGGGTTAGGTGGGTGGTTGGGTGGGTTTTGGGAGTTTTGGCAAGCTGGGGGTGGTTCCCTTGGCTGACTGCTGAAAATGGCGAATTAAATTTGAAATTGCGGTCGGTTGTTGGAGGACAGAGAGGTATGTACCCAAAGGGGGAGAGAGAAAGAAGGAAAATGTCACAGCAAGTTGAGGTAAAAGTTGCGTCTGGCATTGCTTTTGTTGTGTAAAATATGGAAAAATGTCTTCTCCTCGCCTGATAATGTGCGGCTAGGTATGCGGCGACTACTGCTTATGCATACCAAATGTGTGTGACAACTCCGCTGTACCGCCCATGCCACGCCCACCGGGCGGTGGAGCGCATCCGAAGCGGCAGCAAGTTTATTTGTTTTGTCAGTCGCTGCACGCAGCTTGGAGACCAGTTGATGGCTTGGAAAATAAGCTCAGGGCTTTCTCGAGAATCATACCATCACCTCATTTGAAATGCAAAGAAGCACTTTCCTAAAAAAAATTAAAATTATGTTTCTCTTACCTCATCTTGGAGTGAAAGCAAATGATAATTTACATCTGATGTCAAAGATATCAAATCCTTGTCCTAGTAGTAAATGTAAGAACGTGTTTTCTCCTTTTTGGTATTAATTTTAAGTATTAAAAATATTTGTCAAGTTGTTTTTAGAATGAAGTAACTACATTCATTTCAACCTTTAGGAACGTTTGCAATCCATTAAAACTTTATCAAATCACAGAGGATTTCAAAATTGGCATATTAAGAGCATGTTAAGCAAAGAAAACCTTTGGAAATAAACTGCACAAAATATTAAAGTAATTTATAAAAAAATTGTTTCTTGATTTGAAACAAATCATATTAATATAATTATCAATTATAAAAATCTCTCTAATATTGTTAGCATTCAAAATTAATTTTAAGTTTTCAAAATGAATAGTTATAATACACACTAAGTAACTTTTATCGTTCATGTGTATAAATATTTCTCAAACAAAATAGATCCTAGGAAATAAAAATTAAATGCTGACCAATCAGTTAAAAGAGAATCCCCATAAACACACCCACCCAAAAACACACATGATTGCCACAAAGCTGGAGCAGACAGCAAAAGAGATAGCATGACAAATCGCAAAAAAATGACTTTGTGCAATTTATTTTGCCAAGTAAAATTACTTGTCGCCTGGAGGGAATGACGTAGAACATGGACGGGATCCAGTGCACTTACGGGACTGGGGTATTTAGCTATCCATCTACATAGATATATAGATATGTGTATGAATGGGTGGGGGTTTAAATTGGACAAACAACAACAAAGGCGGTGGCACACTCAAAGTGAACGCCATGTCACGGAAAATATTAAAATTAGCTTTAACATGTCTCGTTTGTGTGCAGTGGCTCATATTTTGCCTTTGGTGCGAAATGTTGCAATCAAAAATTGGTCGACGACCCTCATCTCCTCCCCTCGCTGAAAAGATGAAAGACGCCGGGCTAAATTGGAGCGGGCTATAAAGTAAGAGCCGGAAAACTTTTGATGCTGTTTGCTACTTTTCACATTTCCCTGTCAGCATCGTCCTGACCGCAGTGTGTTCCTTTTCATTTAAACTTTTTTGTCTTTTTTCTGCGCCGCTTTTGATTTCAGGACGGGTCGAGGACATGGACACTTTTCCATTTCTCTTGGTTTGTCAGTCAATTTCTGAAGATTCCAGTTGATAAAAACTCTGATTGGCTCCTTTCGTTGCCAAACAAATTATCATAATCCCACTCAAAGAAAAAAGAAGAAGAAACATGGGGCAACACATTTTGAATCAGTTTTTCAAAAAAATTCTATATAAATATGTTTAATTTTAAAATAAGTGGTATAAGTCTAAGCAAAAAAAGATGGTTTTCTAAAATCAAACGTATATTAAGCCTAATAAATTTAAAAGCATATTCATTTATTTGCATTAATTATTTTCAAATTTCACTTACAAAAACAAATAATTTATATAGCTTTTTTATATTAATTTAGCTGCCATCACATAATTTATTGTCT